TCAACCATTTTCCCTTGTGGTGGACAAAAGGTTTCAAACCTCATGGAGGTTTTCTCTAGTAGAAAATGCATAAAAATAATGCTTTTATGAAAACAGTGAAAAAAATTGCTTTCTTGAAAAGACTAAATTTAGAGTTCAGTATTGAATATTACATAAAATAATAAGGAAAGCGTCTTTGAATGGCAATTTTTTAACTTGCTTGATCTGATGCTCACCAAAAACAAGCACAAGTATCACTTTTGAACTTTTAACTGCATTTTTTTATAAGTTTTATAGCTTTTCCTATTGAAAAGCCCCCTTATGGCCATTCATACAACACAAAGTAAAACAGATGCATCCCCAGATCTGTTTTCATACATAGACGTGTGGAAACTAGTGAAACGTCAGAATCTCAGCTAAAACTCACAAAACCATTTCAACAACCACCAAACTGCTAAAACAACAAACGATAAAGCGCAGGCAGACAGCTTCCACATAAACATGTAAACACAAAGCAGCAAATCCTGTTCACCTGACAGTATGTACACAAATATGCCGTTGGATGCTGAAAACAGACATCTCAAAGAGTCAGAAACTGAAGGTTTTGTCACGCTCTGACCAAAATTCACTGAACCAACAGCAAAAGAAGACCAAAACTGCACGTCACATTTAACAAAAACATAGTAATGAATTCCTATTTGTCTGCCTTACTTCCACCACGACTATCTCTCATTATGCTTCAAGACCAGTTTTGCATCAAAACTCTATTTTCTGCCTTATTTGCTCGCTTATTATGCAGCTGTCTACTGTAGAGCACCATGTTGTCACCCGCTTATTTAGTTTCCCCCCCAAAAAATGACTGCTGACACAAAAGCCTACTTTTTGTTGTTCAATACCAAAGAAATTTCAACTTTCACAGATTATGCAGAATTATGTCAAAATGCAATGTCTCTATGAAAAACAAAAAAAGTTTCTGTTTTTCATTTTATACTCCAGAAACATCAGTATTTTTACAACTACATTTCTAAAATGAGTGTGACACCCCTGCCTTAGACAGACTTTTGTCAGTTGAGATACTTCCTCAGTGTCTGAGCCAGAGCTTATGGACTGGATGGGCAACTTGACAGGGAGGCATTTGTCTCACCTCTTACCTCCTATTTATTTATTTATTTTTTTTAAATGAGGAAGTTTTTTAAATACTCATATATAGTTGTGAAAATATGTCAATAGAATTTAGCTCAGTAGGCACCTTTTTGGATGGGACTGGACCCCCAAATGCTCCATAAAGGCAACAGTGTACTCATCCAGCTGAACGAGGAAGTAGCTGGATGAACAACTGCTGACCAAGCATTGCTATGTGACATTTGACCCATCTGTTCCAGTCCAAGGACATATCTGCTGAGTCATCATTGAATCATTCAGTCTTTTGTGCAATCAACCAATCACCTCCCACTAACACCACCTAGATGAGTCATCGATGCACTCCAAGAGATCCAAGGGTCGGCCAGATCTTCAGACTGCCTGTTTTTTACATGAAAACAAGACACGTGTTATAATCATAACTAACCCAAAAGCAAAACCCAGTAATTTACTTGGTATCAACAGTCATTTCTCTATGAAAAGTCAACCTGGAAAACAAATAATAGTCCTAACACTTTTTTTAGTCCTTTATAAAGCATACAAAGAACAGGGGAAGGATTACTACAATTGCTAATGAAATAAGAAAAATCTGTGTTTAACCAGGTTCTTGTCTTTGGTTTTATGCAAATGGAGACAGAAAGTGAGTGAGACAAACTTGCAGAGAGGCAAGTTTGCAAAGCAGTTTGCTAGAATGGTCTGTATTTGTCTACCAAGCCTTTCCACAACTATAGATAGCATTTTATATTGTTAAAACAATGTCTTTGTTTAAAAATATGCAATAATATTTATACATATGAAAAAAACTTTCTTTATACTCTCAAATGACTTTGAAAGGGCCTTCTGCGTTTTAGTCATGAGAACAACAAGCAAAGCCACAAGCAACAACTATACTGACAAACTAAAGTTGTGGTGGGCCATTTCTCCACCCCTTGACCAACTACTGAAGCTGTTTACTCAGAACAGAACTCACTGTGTGCTTTAACAGGATATGAAGTGAGCAGAGAGGTCAGCAAGCGTCTACAACTTTATGCATCTCTCATAAAGTGTTACATGTATGCAATATTCATACAACTGTATTTAAATGCATACTTAATTTGATCTTTCAAATTAAAGTACTTATCCATCACTGTGCTAAGAGAGGCACATATGAACACACTTTACCAAGGTTTCAAACCTATAGTCAATAATTTGCTATTAAATAATTTCACTGCCACAAAGGACAGGGAGGGACACTTGAT